ACAAATTTAACGAGCGTCACAGGTGCCCTAGCTACTTCCTTTTCCAAAAGGCAAATACACATCGCGCGTTACTTCTTACTCTCTCTCTCTCTCCCAAGAGAGAGAGAGAAAGAAAGAAAAATATGAAAAATGAACCCAAAAGAAAAAAAGAAAAAAAAATAACGCGAAAAGCTTACGAGCCGGCGAATCCGCGAAAATGGAACCGCAGACAGAGGCACAACGAACCAGCCGGCGGGCCAGAAGAACTCGCGGGCTCGAAAAGAAATAATCGCGAACCACCTTTGTGACTTCAGGAAATTGCGGACCCTTTGATGGATCTGAAGCAGGGAATGGAGACCCTGCGAGTGAATAAAACGTTCCGCGGGATTCTGAGCACGCTCCTTTCGATCGGGATATTCCTCAACGGAAATGAGGTAGGTATTGAATGCCAGCCAAATGATATCCGCTTAATCCGTCAGTCGGGGGAGTCACTCGTTCGCACGGAATCGATATCCATCAGTGCTGATAATTTTCGTGTAACCGTTGCTCGATGATTCGGAAAAGGGACGAGCCGATGGGTTCAGGACCCTACCCTTTGGATCGGTGCCATGTTTCTGAATATAGAAACCATCGGCCCAATCGTCCCGCTTTTGTCGGCACGACAAGGGGTAGCGTTCGTGGCTGATGTTCGATGCAATTTCTGCTTTATGCTTCTCTTGAAAGTAAATTACGCGCTCCGTCGTTGAAAGATGTATCGAAGTATCGAACGAGCAAGTTCGAATTTTTGAAATTTAGAAAATCACGAAAATAATGTAAATTCGTGAAATTTCTTCGGAATTATTGAAAAATGGAGTTGTTACGTCGTGTAATGTGAAATATTGGATTTTTCAGGGAGAAATGAAGATAATATTTTGAATGGAAATAAATTTTCCGAGAATTGTATTAATTTCAAGTTCGTGTGAAAACACCGAGAAATGTTTAACACTCAAGTACCTAATCTCTCGAGTGATTTATTTTCCGAATGATTGGAAATCCAACATTTTATTAGCCTTATGCGAAAATTCCCATCGCATTTTTCTGGAGGATTTGAAATTTATTTTTTATCAGCTTTATAATTCAATATTATCATAAATACGAACTGAGACAATTTGAACAAGAATTTTATAAAGATTTGTCAAATTTTTTAAAGAATTTAAATAAAGAC